TTAAAACACTGTTTATTTTCTACAGGATGTCTCAGTCTTTATATTTTCATTAAGGTAACACTGGTTTTCAATCTGTGTATGATTCAAAAATAGGAGTATCCTACGTCCTCAGGTGTCAAAGCTTTCAAAGACATAGTAATTCAGAGTCCTCAAAAGAAGAGCCTTCATGCAATGTTTCCCTAGATATAAAGCCACAGAACTCTTTTATGGGACTAACATTTTGTAAAGCAGTTTGGTAAAATTATGGGAAGGCTTCCAACTAGTCAAGTCTTATTACACACATACCCATACAACATATGGCATATTAAAACACTAATCATCACTAAACAGTAGGCAAAAAATTTTCTAACAAATATTTTTTTATATTTCTTAATTTGGACATGATAGAATATGTTGTCTTTATTTTCCACTTTGATTAACATAACAGGAGAGAGTGGGAGGAAAGTGAGTCAAAGAAAGAGTGGGGGGAAATCATTTTACTAAAAAATTGATAATACATCAAGAAATTTGAATTGAATTGGATTCTCTCTACCTGATACGCAATGATTCTCAGCTGGTTTAAGTATAGTATTCAAATGCTTAGGATCATAAATTATAAGTATCTGTAGAAATGGACAAAAGTATGATCCAGTCTTTGGAAAAATCTTCAAATATTGCAAATGGTATAGCCTAGGTGACTACAGAAGCAATAATAAAATAAACAGAACAAAAGTGAATTAAGTTACATTCTCCCTTGAGTAAAAAGATATTTTATCCCAATTCTAGCTACTGTAATGCAGTTCCAATTGCTCAATTGAAATATATGCTCACTCACTAACTCCTACTGTTAAGCCTGTTATACTGGCAGTAATTGTCCATAGTCATAGCAAGAACCAGGTAAACACTTTAGTATCATCAAATTATAATGATTACACATTTTTATAAGTGATGACATATCTCATTGAGGGCTGGTGACAAGAGCATCTGTGAACCAGTACTTACTAAGCATGCATCAAATTCTAGATGGTTATTAATCCAGTATGGTGCAATAGAAGAATATGGAATAATCCCTCCTAACACATATGGGAGTGTACTAATTAAAAAGATGGAGTGTAAAGACCCAAAAGGGAAGAGTAGAGATGAAAGCTTTACATAGTCAGCACTACAAAATTATAGATAAAATTTGTTACATTTGAAAAAAAATATTCAAAGTCTACTAACAAGTGAAATTTTGTGTATAATTCATTGTAATACCATGTTTCTTTAATAAATTAAAAAAAATGGTATCATAGAATCTTGAGTAAAAAATTACACTTATCAGGGCCTCCCTGGTGGCTATCACCAGCCACTGCAGCGTGAGTTCGATCCTCAGCCAGGGCGATAAGTAAAATGGTACAGCAGACTTCTATCTTGCTCACTGCTCCTCTCAGCAGTATATTTCCCCTCAGGAGATCAGATTGTTCTGCTCCCCACTCTGTCTCTGGTGAATCCTCTCACCCCCCAACATTTCTGGTCTACACCCCAGTTCTTGTATGATAAAGAAAAATCTTTAAAAAAAATTACACTTATTAGTAATGAAAGGTTTTTCAAGATGCCATCTTTTCTCTGAACCAAGGGTACATATCTATGCCATGGGAATACACAAGGAGACCAAACCTAATTGGACTTTGTGGCAAGTGAAAAAAAGCCTAGACCTCATTAGTCATGATCTAACCAAGAACAGTACTGAGCAATAGCAAATACATGTTTGGTACTGAATATTTACTTTGATGCCATTTAAATACTTAAGTACCATTTTGGCATTTAAACAGGTCATACAGTTGCTTAGAGTCCATTTTAGAGATGATATTTTTCTAACTCATGAGTGAATGAATTTATTGATCTTACATTCACCTATTATATAGAATACCTGAAAGGTCAGTGTTAGGATAGTTTAAAAATGTACAAGATAATACAGAGTTCAGATTCATTAAAAAGAGAGAAAAATGAAAAAATATAACCAGAATATACACTATACTTTGGATAACCTATCTATTTTATAGTTTAAAAAAGTGAAGCAGGTTGTATTAAGTTTCACAAAGCCACACATTAGCAATTTCAGTTACTTTCGACCAATGATAAATGACTTTATAATAGACACTGTGGAGTTAATTCTCTCAACACCCATTCCAATTTCCTTTTCCCTTGTTAGGTGTACTGTACAGGCATGAAACCTATGAAATCACATCCCCAGATTCCCTTGCAATTAATCATTATTATATAAGAGCTTTGGCCCATTCAATGAGATGAAAGCAAAAAGGAGCAGGGAGTTTGTGGAAAGACTGTATTCTCTTCTACTTTTCCTCTTCTTGCTGTCTAGAATGCAAATGTGATGGGGTTTTTCCCAAAGATTTATTTGATTTATGCATACAAGAACTGGGATGTAGGCCAGAGGGGTGGGGGGTAAGAGGTTTCTCCACAGACAGAGTGGGGAGCAGAATAGGCAGATCTACTGAAATACACTGCTGAGTGGAGCAGCGGGCAAGACAGGAGAGGTCTGCTGCGCCATGTGGGTTGTTTCCAGGCCGGGGATCAAACTCCTGCTACTGTAGCTGCAGACAGCTTGATAGTGTTGAGACTTAACTCCTTACACCACCAGGGAGGCCCCCACAAACTAGGTATCTTACAAAAACAGAAAATTATCTGCTCATAGTTCTGCAGACCATGGTCCAAATTACTGTGTTGATAGTTTGCTAGCTCCAACAATTGAGGAAATCCTTTTTTCACCTTTTTCAGTTTCTGGTAGCGTTAGGTGTTTCTTGGCTTGTGACTGCATAACTCCAACATAAATATCACCGAAAGTGATGGTTTTAAGTAAAGCAGACATCTTCTGATCATGCCAGAAAATCTTGGTTCTGATATCCTTGAGCAGCTAAACCAATAACAGCAACAGACTAAAGGGAAGCACAGTTTGATGGTTCTATAGATACATTTCCTATTGTCTTCTGCTAGCTTAGCCTGAATCTGGCTTAGCAGCTCTAAATTAAAACCAAATGGAGGAATATACTGATAGAACTGAGATTCCATGGCACCCATCCCGCCATTTCTAAAAATGTCATCTTTCTCTAGCATATAGCCAGCTGATGTAAACTGCCTCTGCTTCCCAGAAATATGTAGCATACTGTTATGTACACCTACATATCTAGACAATACACCTAAATATACACAATTATATATAGGTCGGAGATTTTCAAGTGGAGCAATCTCTCTCTCTCTCTCCATATATATATATATATGTATATATTCATTCCAGTGTAACTATTAAAATAATGTTATAATAAGCATTGTAGAGACTGTGATTTTTTGAGTTGATGGTTTCATGTTCTCTTTATAGATACCCAAAAGTGGGACTGCTAGTTCATATGGTATTATCTTTTTTAGTTTTTTAAGGTAAATCCAAACTGTTTTCTAAAATAGCTGCTCCAGTGTACATTCCCATCAACAGTGTAGTAGGGTCATTATCTTTCCATAGCCTCTCCAGCACTTGTTGCTGAGGGTCATTTTAATATGTGCCATTCTCATGGTGTGAGAATATATCTCATGTGGGTCTAGAAAAACATTTTTCCTGATAACATAAAGGTTTAGATGATGGGCATCTCATTTTTTTTTAAATTTAGTGTAAATGCAACAGTAGTTGCATTTATGGCAGAGATTTTATAAGCAGTGTTTAGGAGGCCATAGCCCTATACAACAAATAGGTAAAACATATTCATTGTGTGTCTAAAATACATAAATAACTATAGGTTCACCAGAGTAACTGAAATTTATTGACCCTTTACTATGTACCAATCACCTAAATAGATGTACATAAATAACAAAATGACAACAGATTCCACTCAGGAAGAGCTTTTCCTAGTATGATAAATATAAACATGGATTCACAGTACCATGCCTGAGATGAAAGTTATATGGTGCTGTTTTTGCTCTATCCTTAACCCTATAGAGGTAGGATAAATTAACTGCAGAGGGGAGTCTGGACAGAACAATGTATGAGTTTACATAGATCACATCAGACTGGGGGTAGGAGGGGAGAAGAAAGGAGACAAAACATAGAATGTTATTCTAGCACAGAAAACAAACCACATATACAGACATGAAAGAGCAGTATTTAGGGAAATATCTGCAATTTATAGGTAATGGAGGTTTAAAGGCAGGTGGTGATGTTGATAGGCTTAGTAACCACAATCAAGTGAGAAAAGAGTGCAAGGTCACTATGAAGAGCTTTCAGTTTGGTGCCATCCACTGTATGTCAAGTCCTGTCTTAGCTGCTTTAAATATATTCTCAAATTCTTACAACAAACCAATAAGAGAGATTCTTTGTCTCCCACTTCTCGGGAACGAATAGTGAGAGGATCAGAATAGTTAAGTATCTTCACATGATTATAATAATAATAATACAATAATTAAACCAGGATCCCAAAGTTTTTCGTTAGTTATAATAACAGGTAACAATAATTGAATTATTCCTGTGTGCCATACACTCTTTAGCTGTTTTATTGTATTGGGGGGGGGAAATAAAAAAGACAAAATTCTTTGACCTCATGAAGCTTACAAGTTGACATGAGTACCTAATTTAATAAATTAAATAATATAAATACTAGTTTTATATTAGTTTACAGATGAACACACACAAATTCACCTTATTATAAAGATAAAAGATAGGTTTCAAAGGTGATTATTGTAAGAAATGAGAAATAATCAACAAGAGATACATGTTTTTTCAACCTAGGGAAAACCATTAAAGATTATAACAATTTTTATTGTTTAAAATATTCTACTGGGTAATCAGGAGAAAAACGAGCACATATTCTTAGTCAAAGACAAAGATCAACATATTAGCTGAATTTCGATAACTGTTCTAGTAAAATATAATTGTGAAAACAAGGAAACAATTTTCAAACAGAGAGATGTCAGAAAGTATGTTATTTTTCTCTAACCAACTTGGAGAATTAAAAAAAAAAACCTCCTACACATAAACTTACATTGCTCCATTGGTATAGACAGTATCACTTCCTTCCACATACTGCACCTGAGCTGGATAGACATGTTGTACCTGCTGCACAGTCTGTACCTGCTGTACCTGAAAAACAAACATGATGAAAACTAATTGATTCATGCCAATTTCAAGAAAAAAATACATGTTATATCCAAACTAACTGTAGAATTTATGTTGAATAAATTCCATAACATTCATGCAAACACACACGCAAGACACACTTTAAATGCTTAGGGTGAAAACTTTTGAAAGCTTCTCAAATATTTTGATGAATTGCGAAATTTCTTTACATAATTTGTAAAAGCTTTTATTTCTTAAATTTAAAAATTCATAAGTAAAATTACAAATACTCAAACACAGGAAATATAGCACAATAAACACGTGTACTCCCCATTAAAGATAATTTTCAATAGATGTCCCCCACTTATCTCCTCATGGGATTATTCAAAAGCAGTTGCAGATTTTATCATTTTATTGGTAAACATTTCAATTTGTTTCTAAGGAATAAGAACTATTTTTAACACAAACACATTTCTAATATCACATATAAGACATTAACAATTCTTTAATATCATTGAAAAATCCAGCCATTGTTTAAATTTCCCTATTATGATGTCTCCTAATAGTTGGTTTGTTCAAATCAGAGTCCAAATAAGGTTGACATACTACATTTGCTTGCCAGCTCCTCTCCCATCTTTTTTTTTTAAATCTCTTAAAACAGTTTCCTTGTCCTTTTAGGACTCGCCTAGTTATATTCTGAAGAAATGGGATCATTTATCTCATAGAATTTTTGTAATCCTAGGTTTGGCTGATAGCAACTCTGAGAGGTCATTAAGAAAGTTTCTCTATCTCCCCTACATCCTAACTTGGTAGATATACTGAGGGTCTGAACAAGAAAAATTTTTGAAAAGCTATGAATTTCCTATTGGAAAATGACAGTTGCCATGTGAAAACTGGTTGTTCTCTTTCTGCACTGTTACTTCTGGACAGCAGGACTACGCAGTGTCAGCTGGTTCCTTTTATTACAATACTTCCTCCTTCCTACACATGCTTTACCTGAGATACTAGCAGTCAGTGACGATAAAATTCTAGAGAGAGATTATTTTGATAAAGACAGCAAACTTGTGACACTCTATTTCTATTTCCTTCATTCATTAGTAGACTTTTACAAAGAGAGTCTTCTCATGAATTATTTGGTTACTTTCAAATAAGGCTTATACAGGAAGAGTAGGATAAATGTGTGACTCTTTATCAGTATTTAAAAAAATGATTTTATTCCCTATCTCCCTCTCAAGGTGAACAATGTGGTTTTTAGTTTCCTTGGGTTTATCTCTTTTTGATTTTTGGCTCTTGAATATATTTGAGGTGTTAAAATTATGCCAATCTTTTCACATGCAAAAAATGCTTCACCTTTGACTAGTGGTGTTTCCTTCAACTGGAACCTGTCTCTTGACTCTTTTGCATGACTGCATTAATCTTTAACTCCCCTTCTCTCTGTTGTGATGCAATGTTCCAGATTTATCGCTTATATTTCTTTTTTTTTAAAAAGATTTATTTATTTATACAAGAACCAGGATACAGGCCAGATGTGCGGGAGGGTGAGAGGACACCAGACAGAGCGGGGAACAGAACAGGCAGACAGACTCAAATACACTGCTGAGGGGAGCAGCAGGCGAGATAGGAGTAGTCAGCTGCGCCTTGTGGGTTGCTCAGAGGCCCACAGGGATCTAACTATAGCTGCAGAAGCTGTGGACAGCTTCACAGCACTGCGCTCAACCGCCTGCACCACCAGGGAGGCCCTTATCTCTTATTATTTCTTGTGCTAGATTTGGAATCAACAGTTTGTTCAAAGAGCTTTGACTCCTATATTTTAATGGTAACATAATATATAAAAAAACATTTAGGAAGGCAATATATTAACAGGCAGATATTTAACAACTTTGTGAATTCTTCTACAGAAATATACATCAGAGGAATTACTGTACAGTATTATAAAAAATACAGCTTATAAGAGGAAAAAGTTACAAGGAAAAATCGTAAGGACTTTTGAAAAGTGGAGTGATTAAATTACAGAAAAATCATACTTTCAAGTATCTGAAAGAAAATATATTTAAGGAAGAGTGATAGAAATTTTTTTTTAATTTTTATTTATTTACTTATTTTTAATTTATTTATTTATATATACAAGCACTGAGTACAGTCAGAAGCGCAGGAGGGTGAGAGAATTCACCAGAGCCAGAATGGAGAGCAGAGCAGGCAGACTGATGAAGTACACTGCTGAGGGGAGCAGCGGGCAGCAGGAGAGGTCTGCGCGCCATGTGGGACCCTCGCCTGGCGGCCTTGGATCGAACCAGTGCTGCAGAGGCTGCAGGCAGCTTCACAATCCAGCGCTCAACCACTGCGCTACCGGGGTGGCCCGAGTGGTAAAAATTTATTAAAAATATTAACATCTTAAATGCTCAATATGTACAAATATATAAAGAAAATCACACCAAATGCATCATAATTAACCTGACAAAAACAGTGGTAAGCAGAAAAAACTTTAAAAAGCAGACATACAAAAAGACACATGATATACAAAGTACTAAAATGACTAAAAACTTCCCAGTTAAAAATAAAGCATGCACAAGACAGTCAAATTACATCTTTAAAGTAATGAGAAAAACATATCAACCTAAATTATATAACCAATGAAATATCCCACAAAAATGAAGGGGAAATCCTTTTTTGACAAACATTAACTAAGAGAATTTTTCTCTAGCAGACCTCCAATGAAGAATAATGGAGAAAATAATGGAGAAAAATAATCTCTCATGGAAAGTTGGATTCACACAAATCATGAAGAACACCAGAAATAATGTGTAGGTAAATTAAAGTATTTCTTCTTTGTTTTCTCATCCTCTAACTTCTATAAAAGATAATTGGTTTGAAAAGCAAAAATAGTTAACAGTATATAATGGATTCACCACACATGTAAACATGAAATGGATGTATGACAAAAATAATACTAAAGACAGGATGGGAAATGAAAATACACTTCTGTAATATTCTTGTATATTAAGTAGAATAATATTAATTGAACACAGACAGTGATAAATTTTAAGATCTATACCAAATATTGTAGATAAAACACCAAATAAAAAAGCAGCAATAGCTAATGGTGACAGTAAAAGGCAATACTAGAAAAACACAAAATGTACCAATAGAAGGTTGTAATAGCGGTAATAAAAGAGTAAATAGGATCAACAGAAAGAAATAATAAGATGCTAAATTAAATAGAATGATATTGATAATTACATAATGTACAAGCTTTAAATCTTGACCATCAGAATAGATAAAAATATGAGATCTAATTATATACTCTCCACAAGAACACACTTTCACATATACAGAAACAGGTTAAAAATAAAAGGATGTAAAGTCAAGTTTTACAAACACCAATCATAAGATGGAATGGTTATAATATCTGTCAAAGTGCTCTCAAAGACAGATTACAAAAGATAAGCAGGAATATTTCACTAAGAAAATTATCAAGAAAAAATAATAAATCCTATATATCTTTGAATCTAAGAACAGTACTTCAAAACACATGAAGTGAAAAGTGAAAGAACTGAAAAACAAAATAAAAAAATCCAGTTACAAACTGGAGATTTCAACATTCATCTCTCCATAATTGACAGACCAAAATCCAGAAAATCAGTAGATAGTGAAATTATCAACCAACTTCACCTAAATAACTTTCATATGATCTTTGTAATAACACTAAAATAAACACACATCAACACACATGAACACATGAGCACACAGTATGAAAGCTCAAATGTTGCAGAATAAAACAAGCCCTAACAAATTTAAAAGGATTAAAACAAATTGGCATGTTTTCTAACCAAAAATAATCTGAAATCAAAGACAAAAGATATTTGGAAAATCCTTAAATATTTATATAACGAAAAAAATACTTTAATGTAATCTATGGTTCACTGAAGAAATCATGAGGGAAATCAGAAGATATTTTGAATTGAATGACACTGAAAACATAATGTGCATTTTTGAAGAGTACAATTTGAAAAGCACAATTAGAGCCACAAATTGGGGGAAATGAACAAATTAAGTCAAAAGTGAGGAGAAAAGAAATAATAGAAAGTAAAAAGCATTGAGAGAAATCTAAAAAACAGTAGAAAGATAAACACATGCAATTTGCAGCAACATGGATGGCGCTGGAAGGGATCATGCTCAGCGAAATAAGCCAAAAAGAAAAAGAAAAATACCGGATGGTCTCACTCATAGCAGGAATCTAGAAAACTTAAATAAGGGACCAGGAAAATGAATAACTATAAGAAAGTGAAAATCAAAATCAACAAAAAACTATGAACCAGAGACACTTTTAGGGGGCGGGGGTGGGAGGGGAGGGATTGGGGTCAGAATGGGGGGGCTGCAATTGTATGGGGAATATAACAATAAAATTTATTAAAAAAAAAAAAATCAATTATAAACACTAAGGTAGACTTATCAAGAGAAAAAGGAAAGATAAACTGTGAATATCAAGGTTAAAAAGTGAATTGATACACACAGTAAAGGTTTTTTTAAAGGATAATAAAGACAACTTAATGCTAATAAATTCAACTATCTAAATTAAATGTATAAGTCCACAAATGGCCCAAACTTCTAAAACTGGCCCTCCAAATGCTATAGTTAAATGAAATTGAGTTTATTCGTAAAATTGAATTTATTCACACAGCAGAAATTCCAGGTCCAGATGGCTTCACTGGTGAATTCCATCAAACATTTTCTAGACAAAAAAACACTGATCTAACACAAGTGGTTTTTACAAATAAGAAGTAAGGGAACATCTCCCAGTTTTGTTTTTTTAAATGAGGCTGGCCTTATCTTGAGATTAAAACCAGAAAAGACATTATAAGAAGACAAGACTATGTAATAATTTCCCTCATAAACATAAATGCAAAACTGTTTTAAAATATTGCTATCTCTAATAGGTAATCTAATCTAGCAATAAATTTATAAAGCAATATGTCATACTGAGGTATAGTTTAGATGCTGGATGCAATGTCAGTTCAAGATTTAAA